AGATAGCGCCACTTACAGCGTTATTCATAATTTGTTGTCTACCGTCACTCGCACTACGAGTGTGGCACTGGGAGAACTAGTTCTTGCTGAGCTTCAACGGCGACACGCGGAAGCACTTGGAGACATGCTCGTGTGAGTTGAGCGCTCAAGAGTTATGAAGACATTCACCGCGTAGGTATGGCGGAAACGAAGCGTTAGGGAGGTGCAAAATTCTTGCTGAATACAAGAAAATTTTGGTAGACTATCACGTACCATTCTATGGTTGACTTTGGAATTAGGCTGAACCTAGTGCCGATTCACGAGGCGTTGGACCGTTCGAAGATATCATTAGAGAGCTGGAGCCCTGGGCAGGCGTAGTCGTCGTCGTGGGGACAGCGCTTGTGTGATGTCTTCACAGGCTTTGTCTCCGACCAACCTAAACGCCGCTGTTGCTACGCTAATCGGGGCGCTCGCGGAAAACGGAACTCTGACTCTCGCACAAGAAGAGATTGTACGTATTCCTAAAAAATTTTGAGATTTTTTTCCATAGGGAATTGTCGCTAGTGAATTCGCGATCAACCGACCGGCGTTCGGCTGCTGTAATATGGCCCTGTCCACAGCGAACGTGTGGGAGCTCCTATTTGAGATAGTGAAAATATATTCCACTGAAGAATATGAATCTACTACATTTATTGCTGCCATTTTGGACGCTATTTCGAAGCCCTCATCTATTTACGCTGGTACTGTACACATCCTCTGATTTTGTGAGGAGGGGTTCCCCGAGAAGGTTCCAGCGATTTGGTAAAACGTTGGCATCTTGCCGTTGTGGAATGCCTACGAGCATCTGGTGACGAGAATTCGACTGCCTCCACTGTTGAACAGATTTGGGATATTTTACAAGTAGTCGAAGAAAGTGTCTATTCATGAACATATGCGATGTTTAGTATTCCCTGTGGAGCATGGTCCTGTCTGTGATGATAGTAGTTCGTCGCGAAGCCACTGGTGGCACTGCCACTTCGCCACTCATGTTAGCAATGGCGATGCTAATTCGGCGAGAGGTAGCCTTACGGCACAGTATTGAGGGAACATATCATTTCCTCACTTGAGCTCAGGAGTTTCCTTGAAAGTTTACGTGCGAAGTCGGGTAGAAATGGAAATTCCTAAGAAAAATTCCTCCCAGAATTTTCATATTGTCACCAAACATATGCATATTTTCTAACACTAGGTAGTCGTGCAAGCGTCTACCACCGTTTCAGATCACGGTGTGGGTACTGTTGGACGATTTCAACTTGCCCCTGGACACGCATCAGGCGTTCGACCGGAGAGTTTCAGCTCGAATGGTTAGTCCCGAAATGAGTTCAGGTTTATCAAAAAAATTTTAGGCAAATAATTCATCTGAATTGAATAGCGTCATCACTAAACAAGATTTGTTTTTCGGCATGCAAGAAATAATGCCGTGGAAAAACAGAAGTCGCTGGCAAGAACTACAGCAGTATGTTCCTGCTGGTGAGAGCAGCGCGAATATTCGTAGTGCGATAAGATTCCCCCTCCCAGGCGGGCCTGAGGTTCAGATCGACTATCGCTATCTTTTCCAATCTCCTGTGGATGCTCCTATCACTGCTAGAGCGGTGACGTCCTCGTTAGTTCTGGGTTTGAGACTACAGCACTTGGATGAATATAAGGAAAGAGTTGATTTCCTGAGAGCATGCTTTACGCGAGTGGCTGATAAGGAACGACTGCTTTCTTATGGCAACACTGTGGCGATACTTTCGACGAATCCGGCATTCGCGATGATCACACCTGAAATCGTACAATCAGCATTCACAGAATCAAACGGGAAAGGGGTTCCTTTATCGTCAGCTAGTGTCGACGTTGACGTACTCGTGGACCGTCTACTCTCGAGAAACGTCTTCCCCGCTGTGGTTGTTAATCGCTGAATGTTGCACGCATGCACATGTCTTGCTATGGTCTCCAGAAACTACTACGTTTGGTGTTTCGATATGTCCGATCATATTTTCCAACTAGGCATCTTACTTTCAACGCCTTTCGGAAGAATCACTATTTCAGTAAAGTTTGATTTAATATTTTGCGTTCCTTTCAACAGTGTGTTCGTAAGGCTTCGCATTGATGACGGTCGCTGGCGTTACGAAGCCAAGAATGAGATCGCGCTGTTTGCCTTGCAGTGTTTGCTTCCCACAGCCGAGCTCAGGAGTTTCCTTAGAGGTTTATATGTGAATTAGGGTAGAGGTGTACAGAAACTAATGAGAATTTCCTCAGAGTTTTCATGTAGTTGAGCATGTGCATATTTTCCTACACCGATTCAGTGTTGCATTCGAAGTCTCTGGGCATGTGTTAAATATGACATATGGGAGGATCGAACCCGGGATCTTTTGGTTATAGGCCGTGCCCTTATCCTACTCAGCAATGGCTACTACGACGGATTCTTCTTCGATATCTTCTGAGGAACCTTCCAGCGTGCCTTTCTTCTCTCTAGTCGATGAGGAATTCACAAGCAAGCTGCTGGAGGTTGCCTCCGACCATGGAATACAAGACCAAATGCTCGAGTAAGTTGGGAAAGGTGTGGTATGCACGCATGCACACCCCCTCAGACAAAAATGGGTGCTGTGGGAGCAACTCCAAGCGAATCAGAAGACGAGCCCTTCCGACTGGAAGGACCTCTCGCGCTCGGTAGGTTGCCAGTGTGGGGGAAAATTTTTTAAAAAAAATTAAAATTCTGGGAGGAAATTTTGGCAAATTGTCGTTTGTTTTGTATGTACTTCTACTCTAATTGATATGTGAGCTCCTATAACTAGTAAGGAAACTTTTGAGGAGAGCGAACATATATTCCTCCAACATTGGCGAACAGTGTTGGAATATATACTCACTGAGTTACCGTAAAAGTGTACCAAAAAACACCATAATTTCCTCATTGTCATCGACATGCGTATTAAACCGTGTGCATCATAACATTTCAGATATGCGCGTTTGAGACAGTTGGTGAATTCTGGCGTTATTGGAGGCACGTCCCTCAGCCTAGTGAGCTTTTCTCCGAACCCGGAGGATGCCGATTCGTTCGAGAGGGTCCCGGCGGTGGTCTCAGAGTAGTTGAAAGTAAGTCGCTTCTTGTCGGTGTCGTTGTTGTTATTGTTGTTGTTGTTGTTGCTGTTGCTGTTGTTGTTGTTGTTGTTTTTGTTTTTGTTGTTGTTGTTGTTGTTGTTGTTGTTGTTGTTGTTGTTGTTGTTGTTGTTGTTGTCGTTGTTAATGTTAATGTTAATGTTAATGTTAATGTTAATGTTAATGTTAATGTTAATTCTTTCACAGGTATGATGATTTTCCGTGATGGTGTAACACCGGAGTGGGAGAACCCACTAAATGCCGTTGGTGGGCATCTCCAATTCTCTCTGTCCCCGCATATTGGTGGTAAACAAATTGACGAGTAAGTTCACTTCAATTTTTGATGTTTTTCGACTGTTCTTAATTCTCTAGTTCTCGCAGTGTTTGAGAAATATTCGTTCGCATTTCCCAGCTGAGCTCAGGCGTTTCCTCACTAACAATACAACACCAACGTGTACAGGAACCAACGAAAATTCCCCGAAATTTCCGCAAAAATTCATATCGTCATCAACACTCAGGTATTGGAATAACCTCGTCCTCGCAGTAGTCGGTGGTTCTCTCGCGCCCAACGGGATGGTCACCGGCCTCCGTCTGTGCGACAAGTTGTGAGAAAAAGTCGCTCTTTTGCACGGAATTTTTTTCGGCAGATTTTCCAAACGTGGCGGCCCAAGTCATCAAGGATGTGTTCGTATCGAGTTATGGTTCACTGCCGCTTCCGAAACTGCCAAAGTTGAGGAGCTTTGCGAATCAGTTGAGAAATGCATGACCACTCGTCTAGATGGTAACGACATTTTTTCCTAAATTGTTTATTTTTACTCTTTGTAGGTCAAGTCGTGGAACCCTGCCCAAAATACGATATCAAGTATCATGGGGGCAAGCATTGAGTTGCTATTATAATGCTAAGTTGATAATAGTCTTATATTCATCATCGTTATATTGTGTTAATAGCACTAACAGTAAAAGATTTCATTCAGAGAAAAAACATGTTTGGTTGTCATCAGAGTTATTCGCATATCGGTATAATCATGCGTGAGAAAATCCCATTCTCGTATTTCTTTACTCAACTCAACATAACAACACTAAGAATAATTACCGTCCTCTGCTACGTTTGCTAATGGTATTATACGCTGAACTCGATGATCGCCGCCGTCTATAAGGAAAACCTACTTACACTCAGCGGACGATAAACAACTTACTTCGTTTGTCTACGACCAGCCATCACTACTGCTGTCGGCCCATCACCAAAACCACCCCTGAAAACACATCGCGCTCGCCCAGATGATCGATTATGAAAAACGTCGTACT